TCGCTGGAGCAGGTGCTGCTACTGGTCCCATCGCTGCTAAACTTGGACACTTGGCCTTCTTATGGCCTTTCTGATTGCAATGAAAGAAAATCAGATCAGATACCTGGGTGGTGGTAGTGGCAGTACAATCCCTGTCAAAGTGCCATGTCTTGCCGCACTTGTAGCAGCCCGAACCACCGGCCCTGCAGACTCCGTCATGCGCCTTACCACACTTGCTACAAAGGCCCCGACCCTGATGGCCCATCGATCTACAATCGAAACCCTTGGGTTTCTTCGCCGAAACGCCAGTCATCTGCCCATGCTCTGCCTTCCTTTTCCCTATGTGCTCCAAATCAATTTCCTGTTCTAGGGCCCTAGATATCTTGTCATCTAATGTCGGGCAGGTGGAAAAACTAACAAACTCCCGAATATCTGATCTCAACATGTCATGGTACGAGTCTTCGACATCTCCTCGTCTGTAGCATTTTGCGGTACCAATAAAGCCCTCTCTCGGAACATGGCAGTGATCTCCGTTACGGTCTCAGTCGTCTGTCGCGTATCCAAAAACTCCCTCGCCAACTGTTGTACCTTAATAGCTGGTGCAAACACTGCTTGGAACTGGGTCACAAAGTCCAACCAAGTCATGGCCTCAATGGTTGGGGCTTCCAGAGCATATCTAACATCCTCCCAACAGTCCCGGGCTCGCTCCCTCGGGGCAGAAGGTAGTCATCTGAGCACACTTAATTTCTGCTATCCATCGTCTAGCGGCAATAGGGTCCTTCACCACAAAGAATTCTGGCGCCCCACATCCCCTGAAATCCTTGAAGTAGAGATTGCGGTATCCGTGCTGACTAGTGGGCAGATCGGCCCTAAAGATCCGAAGGCGATCCTCCATCAACTAGATGATACCATCTTTGATCGACTCAAACATCATCGGGGTCGCCACAAGGATGCCTCTAGTAATCTCAGACGCAATGAACCCGTGTAAACTCTCATCAATTGGTTCGGTGCCCGAGCCCGAACCGAATCCAGATCGTGAACCTCTGCCCCACCGCGTGTCATCACTATGCTGAAACATAACACATAAAAAATCAATATACACATGAAGAGGTTCATACCCTCGAAGTTTCTTGAATTAATCAAGGCCTTCCTTGTCTTGGGTATAGATCATGTGCTTTTAGTAGTAAGGGCCCAATATTACATTCCACACCTATCTATACCCTCCCCAAGGACTGCCTCGAATCCTCCCAGTTACTTCCTCTCTATCCAGTACCCCTCTCATACTATAGAGCGTCCTATGTGCTAGGACATATTCCAGGAACTCCTTAGAGTTCCTTTCCTCACCACTCTCTGCTATCAGCTGCAAAAGGAACTCCCTCAAATACCATCTAACTACCACACAATTACAATTACATACCGTCGGTACTAGATAATTCTTCGAGTGAAAGGTCTCACACTACAACGGTTGGACTCAAACAAGAGTTGCACAATAGAGTTAAACCTAACCCTCTAAAATTATCTAATCTCAACAATATGTAACCAAGCGCATTAGTCCACTAGTAAGCTAATATTACTGAGAATTCCTAAAAGCACAAAGCACGCAACATTCGAGCATCAAGCAATTCAAATCTATATATAACCTAAACAGCCCATGTATCAGATAGCTGATCTATACTAGCATCCAAATCTATAATCTCATACAACAGGCATATATAGGAATCTCTCCTAGCATTATATCATGCAATCCTGAGCAGATCCCTAGTCATAATCTTGCATGCGATTCTCATACCATAGCATAAAACATATAACATGTATGGGTATTTTGGGAAGACTTACTTGAGCTCGGCTGATTGCACGCATCACACCCCTTTCTTTTATTCAAAATCTCTTAATAAAACGTTTCCTTTTATAAAAAATCTACCAAATCCTCGGTTTGAGTTCAAACACACCCAAGAGTATGTTCGAATCCCTCAAACCAAGGCTCTGATACCAACTTGTAACTTCCCAAAAATTCCAGATAAAAATTTCATTTTTAATCCATTCCAAAAAAATCCAATAATCATGTAAAAACAACCAAGTGTGCATCATAGAGAAATAATATCAGAGTACAAAATCCCAAAATCACATAATGCGAAAAACATGGGCGGATGCAGTACGATTAAGTCGGACCCTTCCCTTTCGAGTTGGAAGTACTTGATACATAAACTGAAAACCATAAGCACAAAGCTTAGTGAACTTCCCCGAAATACCCCATGCCATACATGCATATTATTCAAAACATAATTGGGTCTATTTCACCCCCTTCGGTCTGTTTCAACCGATACTGGGTATATTTCACCCCCTTCGGTCTCTTTCAACCGGTATTGGGTCTATTTCACCTCCTTCGGTCTCTTTCAACTGGTATTGGGTATATTTCACCCCTTTCAGTCTCTTTCAACCAGTATAGAGTATATTTCACCCCTACAACTAGCATACAATCATATCAGCAAGAGTCACAAAGACAACAAGCATATACATGCATAACAGGAAATTGTCACGAAGACAACTATCATCTTACAAACATAGTCTAGTGGGCTAGCATTGTTGCCTTCGACCCGCGAGTACAGTGAAGGAAACTCACTTCAGTCTGAAGATAAACAAATCCCACTTAGGATGTTGAATCGTAAAATCCCCCTCACTAAATCACAAATAATAGAACCTTAACTAGCAATTAGGTCATTAGCCCAAACCGAGAGTCCAAACCCTAAATTCCGACTCCTAGGGTAAAAATGATGCTTTATCCCTCCCTTATTGGGCCTAACATATCATGGTCCAAATCCACACTAGCCCAAAGTCCGAAAGGCACTCAAAGCCCAATATGGGCCCAAATCCATAAGGACCAAGGGCTAACAATTGCCCAATCCAGAAAAGTTTGCGGCCCAACAAGGGCCCAAAACCCTAGAGTCCAAGGTGGACCGAAATCTAAAAGCCCAAAAATTCCCTAGTGAGTACTCTAATGGTACCACCAATACACCCGACGTACTCGAGTGCTACACACGGATCGGGATCACAGGTGCGTACGCTCAACGTACGCCTTCGTACGCCCTACGTACGCCCCAGTTGGCCAAAGTCTCATTTTAAGGTCTTAATCCGTTAAGACCTAACGTCCAACTACATATCTAGCTCATTTGGAATGTCCTGAAGCAATAAAGTTGGAAACTTTACTCCTTTGCATGTCTTAATGGGACTCAAACCATAGATTTAGCCTTCTACTTCCATTAAATGGTCACTAACTCATGCATGGTTGGTCTACAACCATCAAGATGCAAGCTTTATGGATCAAGGACCTCAGAAACATTAAAAGAAACATCTCATAACATCTGGAGTATCATTTACTCACAAGAGTTCATCCATGGGACCAAAATATGCTAAATTTTTTCCCAAATCTAGATCTAGACATCAGAGGAGCAATGTTTAGACTTTATACCTCTAATAAGCTGGAAAGAGTGAATAATATTTGGATCTACAAGCTCCCTCTTGTCCAATGCTTCTCTACAAGTCTCATTCTTCTTTAATTTGCACCACACACACCAAAACACACATAAAATGGTCATTGTCTAAGGGAAATAGATTAGGGTTTCGAGGTATAGCTGAAAGAGGGAATGGAGGCTGATAAGGTGAGGGCTTGGGGGACTTAGTGTGTTTAAATAGGGTGCAAACCCTAAAAATTAGGGTTTGCCCCTGACTGAAGTATGCCCTGCGTACGCATGGGTACGCCCAACGTACCAGGGGAATATCCCTTCTCATGCATGCTTCGTAGTACGCCCAACGTACCTTGTGTACGCCCAACGTACTAGGGTCCCTAAGTCCAAATAAGAGAAAATAATTAGCTAACATTTTACCTGACATACTGGGTGTTATAGTCTCAAGGCAGATAATGACATTATATAAGGCTCAAACCCTAAAAATTTGGGTTTGCTCATCTGACGAGTACGCCCTGTGTACTCATGAAGACCCACATTCCTTTTAATGAGTTACGTCATGCGTACGCACGACGTAAGAACCATTTTTGCAACAATTTTTATATACTTAAGATAATAATAGAAATACCAGATTGGCAGGGCGTTACATGTGTTTTGGCATTTATAGAAGGTTTGGAGTGATTTTTTATTTAGGTAAAAATTTTAAATAAAGTAATAAGCAAACTAGTCTGTTATTCTTGGTTAAAAGGGAAGTAAAGTTCGATTGGGTGTTGCATTTCGTGGTGAACATCACTATTGAACATGAGCACGACGAACCACGGAGGTCCGGGCTAGTGTGCACGAACCACGGTCGTGGCCACCTAGACCACGAGACCCTTCGTAGTTCGTATATACCGGATGACCTAATTATAATAAAAACATCCGTAAAAAAAGCTTATTTAAACTTTTGTTTTTTTGAAAAGCTTTTTCCCAGAGGTTTTTTTATATCAATCCCATGTTTATTCAAAACAACTTGTAAACTGACAAGTGTTTTTTGGAGAGATTTAATATATATATATATATATATATATATATATATATATATATATATATATATATATATAAGGTTTATTATTTTGATTTAAATATTTGTGGATTTAAAATTAATGGGACCATGAATAAATTTATTAAAAAGCTTTACTATAAAAAAGATATGTGGAGGTTAATTCAAAATACTTCATATATCACAGAGTATTTTTCCTGTTGTAAAACAAAATCTCCTATTTCAAAGATTCCTGACATTCTTGTCATCATACAATCAATAATAGAATCAATAGTGAGTACAACAAAGCATCATTTAGGTCAATGATTAAACTTATCAAGAATCGGATATTTTTAAATTTGTCACAGACTCACAGTAATAAGTAAACAGTTACTTCTTTTTAAAATGCAATCAATTTTACCATAATGAAAGAAATAAGAAACAGCATCAGTTTTTTGTCAAAATCCAAACACACTTCATAAACGAAGCAAAAGTAGAACAAGACCTAAACTCAGAATTTCAAAAAAAAAAAAAAAAAAAAAAAAAACACAGAGAGGTTAAAACACAAAAGATCCATACTTACATACATTAAGAAGAGAAACAACATATGTAAAGTAAACTAAAACAGTATTGATCATTGATTCAGTCTTTAAATTCTAAAACCCTAAACATCACCTGTGAATCAGAATCACGTTGAAATCGATTTAGAAGAAAGCTCGACTCCCATAGAACACGCGTGACTGTGTGCTGTTCGGTGTCTGTATCTTCTCCTCAGATCCTGAATTCCCAGAATCCGTACGCTCCTTTTCCACATCCAATGGAAGCTTCATCTTAGCCAACGACTCTGTAAACTGTTGCATACTCTTCATATACAAATCCACAAAATCCTGTTGCACCACTTTCTGCTCCAGCTCAAAGTTCACCGCCATCACCGGCTTCTTTATCGGATCCCCGCCGCTTGCTGAATCACTGTCGGCACCACTACCACCACCTGCCGCCGGTTTTTCCTTTAGATGTGAATCGTATTCTTGTTTTGCACATTTAGAGTCTCTAGAAGAGTCATCAGATGATTCGGGGCTTAGAACGTGAGTGGAAGCACAGTGGGAACCGTTGGTTGAAACGCTAGAAGGGGGTGAATCAGGTTTTTGGGTTTCAATCGGTGCATCAAATTGATCATCATTGTCGGATGAGACCAAACTCTCTGAGCTAAGACCGAAATACTCAGACACCATCATGTGGTTTTCGTTTGCGATTTTAGGATCTGGGAACTCGATTTTGTCGAACTCGGCTAATTCTGACTCGTCGGCGGCACCCTTCGCGGGAAGTGGCGGCGGGATGGCGATCACGTCCGGTGAAGCTCCGGTGTATGATAACGACAAGTGAACGAAACCGGAAGGCGAGTGGAAGAGATCGGTGGAAGATAAAGTGAACTCGTTTTCCAATTTTCCGTTTTTGATGAGGACTTCGGATAAAGGGATCAATGCAAAACCTAGCAACTGATCTTCAAGATAATTTCTCACCCTGCTTAGCATATATATCTCGCACTTCAGAGAAGATTCAATTGTCGGAACGTTAATCCGAAGGGTTTCGTTAAAGACTGGATTTTTTCCACCTCCATTGATGGTCTGAGTAGTGACTGATTTTTCGGGATTACAAGTGATGCAGATTTTTGCATAAACGTCTTGTTTATGGTATATGCAGATGTTCTGAATGTCTCTAGCTTGATGAATGTGAACATCCAGAACACCAATAAACGGTTCGGGTTCGGGTTTTTTGGTTACGTAAGTCGAGTGTTTGGGGAAAAGATCCAAATTCTGTTTTTCAGGTTCAGAAAACACACAGGAGCTCTTGAATGGTGAAACGACAGATTGAGGAGACTCCATTAAAACCTGCTCAAATAAATCAAGAAACAGCAGAAATTAGATAAATCTTGAACAAATTCATGGAATAGGAATCATAGTTATTAAACTATATTTCATGGGAATCAAGAGCTCAAGCAAATATCATAAACTCACGTACGAAAAAGTCGAAAACAAATCAAGAAACCACACCTGAAAAAGGTGAAACAGTAAGAACCGTAATTAATCTTTTGATGTCAAACCCTAGTTCCTAAAATAAGTCAAGAACTAACTGAGTCAACCCAAGTTTCATTTCCAATTTATAAACAAACCCACAACAACAAAAGACTCGATTTTCAAGAAAGTTATCTGCTTTACCTCAAAGAAGAGCTCCAAATCCAGAATCTAATGGAGTAAAAAGGGAAAGCGAAGACATTAACAATAACAACAGGATTCAAAGATTAAAGATTCATGGGGAGAAAAGTCACTAGAATCCAAGAAATTAAGAAAGTAGAAAGGGAAAGTTTAAAGGCGTGAAATATAAAAGGAAAGTTAGGTCATTTCTTGCCTTCTTTTAACACCAAATTCGAGAAATATGAGTAGAATTGTTGGGGTTTGATCCCAGAAAATCTACACGCAATCAAGTTCGAGAAGCGAGATGAAGGGAAAGTAACTTGGGTTTTTGAAGACTGTGTAATCTGTGAAAGCTTCTGCATCCGTGTGTCCCCAGTTTTATAACTTGGTGCGGATTTTCTAATATTTTATCTTTCAATAATGGAAGTGATTAAAACGTTTGAGATATTTTATTTTTATTTTAAAAAATTTTAGTGTTTATTTCTTATCTTGAACAAATCTAACTTTAATTTAAATTACACATGACTATGCTTTCTATAAATTATAAAAGCAAATTAAAAACATTATTTCTTGCGTTTTTTTTTCTTTTCATGTTAATAATTTCTTGAAAATAAATAGATGTAAAGTTTAACTATAGTTTTTTTAGAATATCAAAGTATTTTATTTATCTTTTCGATTTTGTTATGAGATTTTTCTATAAAAAATTTTGCACATTTAACTGATAACAGAATGATGATTTTCGGTAAATTGTATATTTAAGTATACTTCTATGTTGTAAAGAATAGAAATAGTCAGAAAAATCTTAATATTTTTAAAAAATGTTTTCTTTATTAAAAAAAATTAATATAAAAACCCGATTATTTCATTTGGGTTCAATTTATCAAAAAAAATCATTTTTTTTTGTTTTAACAGAAAATGAAGTATTATCGTATAAAATCAAATAATCAGGACTTTTCTGTTTATTTTTTTTTTGTGGAACTAAAATGAAACGTTTCAGAAAATATTAGGACTTTTCTAAAAATTTGCTTTGTAAAAAGAGTATATTATGTTTATGTAGTCTTAAATTATTAATATTGTTGTATTAAAGACAAATAAATGAAGCAACAATGACAACATATATAGAGAAGTCTTTTCAGTTAAAAGGGTTCCATAGAAAATATTGCTTTTAAAAAGAAGCTGTTATGTTTTGACTATACATATAATTAAATAAAAGAATATGGTTAATAAAAATAAATACTAGTATCCAAATGAACCTTTATAAAAGGAAAATACTACAATCTATTATATATGCCACATTTACTTTCAGTGAGACTAATTGTTAAATAAGACAAAAAAAAGAGTTAATTAAAAGAAAGAAAATTTAGGTAAAGAAGGCAAGAAGCAACGGAACAAGGTTTGGTTTCTGTTTCTCCCCGCTCCCTATTTTCAATTAGGAAGAAATCACAAAAGCAATCATATTTTATATGGTAATTATTAAAATATTAATTATATTAAAAATATTATGTTTTATGGTTGTTAAGATTTGGATATTAGTTTTAATATTCATATTCATTTTTATATGTAAGATTTATTTTTCATATGAAATCAACTTGTTACGACACATGTATTCACAAGCAGGGACAGATCCAAGAGATTTCGGGGTAGCCTGGGATACCTTTCAAATTTTTTTCGATAGTGTAATTTTTTTAAGTAAAATTTTGTTTTATGTAGTGTGTTTATATATATATATATATATATATATATATATATATATATATATATATATATATATATATATATCCCTTCACTTATAAACACAAACAAACTGTTGGTTTGTTGGTTATGGCGTTGGGTTATTGAAGCAAAGGTCTTAGGTTTCATTCTTGCTCCTTACATATCCTTTGTTTTTATATTTGTTTTATTTTCCTAGCTATTCTATCCCACGTCGCCAAACACATGTATAATTAGCCATTTTCGCTTATTACATAAACATGTTATCCTCATGCTTTATTTGATGTCTACCTTGACTCGCACATTGATTCAAGTATCAAAATATATACTTCAACTTCATGTTTATATAACAAAACTTGAGGTTAGCTATGAATCCAATTAAGGTTTCGATTTAAAACTGAAACCGGATCGGGGTAACCCAAGTACTCCAGAAAAAAAAAAATTGACTACCCTAAAAAAAATTAGGATATCATTTTATTTTGATCATGACTCAACCATTGTTCATAAGTATTTCTTTGTATGAAAATAAGAATTTTTGCATGAAATTCCTTGAAGATGATGAAACATTTTTGATTGGCTTAAAAGAATTACTTTAACCACGTTTTCTTTCTTGTTATCATTGTTCTCGTCACTTGAACATGATTAGTAGTGGTATTAACATCAAGGTTTTCATTCATTTATCATTGTGAAAAGGTTATGTTCGTGTTTTGCCACATGACCGTGTTTCTTTTTTTTTTCTTCTTTTCTCTCTTTTTTTTTTTGTGTTGTATTATATTGTATTGCATTGTCTGTTACTAGTATCTACAAATCAGTGTTTATGAATAAAAAATCTTACAATTAATAAACAAAGCTAATTTGTACAAGTCAATGCACCTCGGAAACAACCATTTCCACCAAGTCTCATAACCAATAGTAATAAAATCTTTTAATGATGAAAATAAAATGATTTTTTTTAAATCAATATTCCTCTAATTAGTATGGAAGAACCCTATTAGCGTACTTACAATCCTTTTTTCTCCACTGATTGCATACACATATAGCAACATACTTATCTCTTTCTACGATTAAAGGCACATAACTTCATATTTTACCCATATAAGCAACCAATTTATATTTTCTACCAATTAAATCAAAATTTGTAACGTGTAGTATAGCAAACCAGAATGACGATCCCGTAAAAAGTCTCCACCAATCCTTCGCTCCAGACCTCAGAAGGTTCAGAGCGCACCTGACCTTCTGGTCAGCAGGGCATCAACAAGTGAAGAAACAGCCCTCCACATCAGATAGCCATCTCATGGCTATGATCGAGTCCTGGACTCCATCGAAAGTCGAGGGCTTCGTATTATCGAAGTCCCGATACTAAAAGACTCGCCCTGTCCCAACACCTGCAGCCGTCTCAGGGCAACAACAGTCGTCTCAGCAATGGCTGTGTAGCGATCATCAAAGAACTCCATCATCGCGGTCTTGATAGACCCACACATCTCCGAAATCTGACCTCGAACAATAGCAACTACCTCCTCGCAAATGATCTCCTTGACGCGGTCCTCTGACAACACTGGCTCACGCTGTCTGCCAGCTCCTGATCCCGACCCGGATCCGATCTCAACTCGTCTCGTAGTCACCATACTGAAAATACACCAGGAAGATATCAGATAATGCACATATCAAAACGGGGAACCAACTCCCAATGAAGCCCTAGGGGTTGGGACTTCATTGCTACGCGTACGGGTCCTATGCTTTCAGTAGTACGGGCCCATACTACCTTCCACACCTACCCGTATTTATCTCAAGGATCATCACAACGCCCTAACGATACTCATAAGCATAAACGAACACTCAATCCTCACTCCCTAGAGGAAAAGCTAAACATCTCACAACTGGCCGGCTGACCCCACACGACTCGCCCATGAAACTTCCACCAACCCTGCAACACTCGTGTATGCTAGCCATACATAACACTGGATCCTACATACATTCAAATATCTGATCCTAACTTAAGCCCTTCATCAAACAAGAACAGGAAATAAGGCCAAACCAAACATTCTCAGGCTATAAGATCTTAGTTACATATAACCATGATGCATACACTAAGGAACTACAGTAATGATGTCAATTCCATAAAAAAAAGGTCCTAGGCTATCAGTCATCATATAATCAGACAAATATATCATGCAATTCCTGAAGATCCCTAACTTATCGCTAGCATGTTGTTCTAACATAACACAATATCAAATAACAATATGGTATTTTGGGGTCTACTTACTGGCTCCGGCTGGTAGTACACATCACATCCTCCTTGAGTATTTTGAAAACCATTTGGAAAATCATTTTGAAAATCTTTCCTTAGTTTGAGGCTGGATTCACACGAGTGTTCCTCCAATTCACTCAAACCAAGGCTCTGATACCAACTTGTAACATTCGAAAAATTCTTGAAAATTTTTAAACTTTTTATATACCACAAAACCATCATTCATTATAATTTGTTTTCAAAATAAGTTTCACATCAGAGTTTTCCCAGAAATCATAACACAAAACACGAGGAGGTGCATGATCAAGCCTTCGCCTTCCCGCGATCATCTGAGATACCGGAAACATAATCAAAACTGTATGCCCAAAGCTTAGTGAATCTTCCCTAAAATACTACCACAATATAAATCATAACTATCACACAACAGCACGCGTACAGAACGTTCAGCATGTATGGAACGCCACATCGGGCCTTCAGCCTACTGGACCGTTCTCCGGGCGTTCGGCCTGACTGGTCTGCCTCGCAGGCCTTCAGTCTATCCGGGTCTCCCTGGGTCTGTTGGCCTTCCGCACAAAGCAGGACCGCCTCAACCCAACCACACACATATGTCGACATATACATAACTCATAAACATATAGTCAATCCACAGACAAGCACAAATAATACAGATCAATAAGCATAAAATCATCCTATCTATCATGATTCAGATCTAACATATCACTACAGTACTCAATCATACGATAATTAGGAAAACAATCCAAAGGGACCGACATTGGTGCCTTCGACCCATTTGTACAGTGAGGGAAAACTTACCTCTCAAGTAGTGCAGAACTGATAAGGTCTGACTCCGAATCTCAGCTCCCGAATTAATTCCTACAACCATCATGACCAACTCATCAAAATATCGAAATACCCAAAATACCCTCAAAAGTCCAACTTGGCCAACCATGGTCAAAGTCAAAGTCATCTGTAACATCCCAAAATTCAAAGCCAAAAATTTCATTTTTAAATAAGTTATTATAAAGCCAACAGTATAAAAACATTCATAATATCTCATGTCAAAAACCAAAGTGTCAATAATCAAAACATATTATCATAAAACCATATCAGAGTGTAATCCCAAAGATCTCATGTGCGGAAAACATAGTGTGATGCGTTGCGATCAAGCCGACTCCTTTCCTTTGAAAACGAGTACTTGAAACCAAAACTGTAAATCGTAAGCACGAAGCTTAGTGAGTTGCCCCATCATACCACATACCATACAATACACATACTGCCTAGCATATCTGGGTGCTGGCCTCCCCTTCGGTATCTTTCAACCGGTAGTCGGGAGCTGACCTCCCTTTCGGTATCTTTCAACCGGTAACCGGGAGCTAACCTCCGCTTCGCTATCTTTCAACCGGT